GTGACCCCAACATCCAGGTTATACTGTGGGCCTGGCAGAATGGTACCACTCCACCCTCCTTTACCCCCCTGGTATGCATCCTACTGAGAGACTGGGAGAGCCTACAGCTACTGGATGAGGTCTGCACTGCAAGGTGCATGACATAGAGGGGAAGGAGGTATTGCAACTGGTTCTCCCCAAGGGGTAGCGGGCCCTAGTGCTCAAAGCCCTGCATGATGAATTTGGGCATATGGGGGTAGAATGCACCCTAGCACTGGCTAGGGAACGGTTCTTCTTTTGGCCAAGGATGGCCAAGGACATAAGGGAAAAATGTCTCAACTGTGAACAATGCATGAAGTGGAAGACCCTAGCCATGCATACAGCCTATTTACGTAGCATGTACAGCTTGCAGCCCTTGGAGCTAGTATGTATGGATTTCCTGTCTCTTGAGGGAGAAGGAAACCAAAAGGGAAACATCCTTTTGGGCACCAACCACTTTACTCAGTACACTCAAGCTTTTGCCACCCACGAGCAGACCGCCAGGACTGTAGCAAAGGTACTATGGGAGAAATACTTCTTGATCTTCAGACTGCCCGCCCGGATACATTCTGATCAGGGCCAGGACTCTGAAAGCAGGCTGCTCTAGGAGGTGATGACTGTGACAAGGATTAAAAAGTGACAAACCACTCCATACCACACACAGGGGGATCCTTGGACCAAGTGGTTTAACCAAACTATGTTGAATACACTGGGGACCCTCTGCCAGGAGCAGAAGGCCTCTTGGAGCCAGCACCTGGCTTTCCTGGTGCATGCTTACAATGCAAAGCAAAACGATGCTACTAGGGTCAGCACCTATCTTCTCCAGTTTGGCAGGCTACCCCACCTGCCCATAGATCTATGTTTTGAGGTAGAGAAGGATTTTGGGCAGCAATTAACCCATGGGCAATATGCTCACCAGCTGAATTCACCATCCAGCACAGGGTGTCAAAGGCCTGCAGCAAGGCAGCAGTCCTGGACTTCAGGAGGGTGGATTTCAGTAAGGTAAGGAGACTAGTCAGGGAGACACTGAGGTCCCAGAGGGCAGGGGATTTGGGAGTCCAAGAACAGTGGTCGTTCCTGAAGGTGATGGTCCTCCAAGCCCAAAGGGTGACAATCTCCACGAAGATCAAAGCAGGCAGGAGTGCTTAAAAGCACCCATGGCTTACCAGAAGCATCCAGGAACATCTCAAAGTGAAAAGGAGGCATACACCCAATGGAAGGGAGGGGCCATCACCAAGGAGGATTATACGTCCATTGCTCAAGATTGTAGGGGGGCTGGAAGAGATGGAACTGGGACTAGCGACCAGGATCAAGGATAACAAGAAGTTCTTTTTTAAATACAGAGGGGGTAAAAAGAAGGTATCGAGTAATGTGGGGCCTCTGCAGGACACACTTGGAAATCTGGTGGTCGGACCAGATGCCAAAGCTAACTTCTTTAACAGATTCTTTGCTTCCGTTTTTCTGAGCAGGGACCTGCCTCTGCTTTGGGGTGACAGGGGCTTTGGAGTCAGAGGGGGACTTCCCTTTGGGCACACTCCCATTTGTGCCAGGTTGAGGAGCAAAGGCAAGGGGGTGGTGCCTGTGGAGATGCATCAGCATCTCCGTAGTGCTCATGTGCTTTGTTTCCTTGCCCCGACTGGTTTTGGCTCAGCAGTGCAGGCAGATAGCATACATTAGATCATCTGCCAGATCAAAATGATCCCAGACCACACTTCCTGCTCACTTTTGGGGTGCGGGTGCATGTGTGGATTCTACAATTTTCCCCTCCTCAGTGGGCAGAGGCAGAGCAACAGGAGGAGCAGACTCAGCTGAGCCACTTGCCTCTACAACCTCTACCTCAGCCTCCTCTGAAATGCCTTCTGGAGGAGATGGGGCTCTAAAGTAAACTTGATGGGTGTGGAGCACAAACTCAGCTGATTCCCCCTCCTTACCCAGAATTTCCTTTGCTAGGGCACTCAGCTCCAGTTCCAGCTCTTCCTCTGGCACTGGAAGGCTCAGCATGGGAAGTGAAATAGTTGTAGAGGAGACTGTCATGCTGGTGCTGCTGCTTGTTGTTGTAGTGGTGGTGGTGGGGTGGGGGTTATGGCTATGGCTGGTGCTCTTGGAGAGGATGCAGTCTCAGGCACAGGCAGTGGCACTGCTCCCTTCTCCTTGCTGCTTCTGTAAGCCTCATCCCTGCTACTTGTAGGAAAGAGGCTGTGTCTCATTGGGGAGGGTGGGGGGGACTTACACCTCTCCCTCTACCCCCTTTTACGCCCCTCCCTGAAGGCTTGCCAGCTGCCTTTCCGCCATGCTTCATGGTGTATTTGGTAGTGTCTTGCTTTTATACAAATATATGAATGTATCTGCATTTCTATATAAATTCTGTAAGGCGTATAGTCTATGCCACAAGGTATAAATGTATCTCCCTTCCTATATAAATTCTATAAGGTATATAGTATGTGCCGCAAGGTATAAATGTATAGAAATAAAATATAAATGTGTCTTCCTATATAAATTTTATAATGTTTGTATATTAGGGCTGTGCAAAGCTTTGGATCACTATTCGGATTCGGAAATGATTTGAATGATTTGGAGGCTGAATCTATGAATCTGAATTGAATCACTGGAAGCTTTAGGCTTTCTGAATCGATTCAGAGCTTCTGAATAGATTCGGAAATGATTTAGAAAAGATTTGGCGATTCAGCCATAGGGTATAATGGGGAATCAATGAAATATCTATAGCTTTATTGTCTTTTGGCTGATTCAGATGAAACTTGCAGGTATGATATCCTCTGATGAGAGCATGATACGTACCAAGTTTCAAGGTGATAGGTGCAGGAGTTTCTGGGAAACTGTCCCTCAAATTCCTGAAAGCAAAACTCATATCACATGTCTGTGTTAAGCCACAGCAGGGTCAAAACTGCAGGGATGCTAGCCCCTGATCAGGCCACAAAGTCTGCCAAGTTTCAAGGAGACAGGGGCAGGGGTTTGGGGGAAACTGCATGTCAAGCTGTGGACAAGCAAAACTCGTGACATGGGTGACACTGTGTGTGTTAAGGCACAGCAGGGTGAAAACTGCAGGCCTGCTAGCCCCTGCTGAGGCCACAAAGCCCGCCAGCTGTCAAGGAGATAGGTGCAGGGGCTTCTGGGTTCTGGGGTCCTGCACCTTTAGCTGCTGACAGGCAAAACAGCGTTGAAATGAAACAGCTGGTAAAATTTTGCACAGCCTCATGAGTTAGTATAATGCCATGTGATGGAATTTCTGTTCTTTTCCACTTGCTTTTTAATAAGCTAGGAGACTTCAGTGTGAAAAACTGTGTGAAATGAATATACTCAGAAATAAGGAAGTGCCTGAAGATGGTCTCTGTAAATTTATTTGTCTCTCACACACAGGCACAATGAAGCTGTAATTAATTTCACTATGGGCCAGATTATATTTCATACGTGGATTTGGGCACCCAACTGTGATTCTATTCTGCCCTGCTCAAGTCCCTGGAAAACTTAATGCAAAAGTTAGGTGGGTCTCCCACTTCCTCAGTGTTTTTTTATGACTCAGTTTTAAGGGTCAGATGACAGTGTATTACAAAAGTAGATGCTGAATGGATTTTCAAGAGTTGAACAGGGTAGAATAGAATACCATTTAGATGCTCAATACGTGAAATAGCATCTGATTCTATACATGACTACAGGACCACTACTTCATTTAGTGCACAGGGTGGGTGTCCAGTGAATGAATCAGGGTTGTGTACTGAAGCTGTTTTCTGTATTCAGGGTGTTATAAAATAATATGTTATTTGGTAATTAAATCATTTGTCATAACGCATACTCACAACAGGGAGCAAGTTTTACTTGCACAAGGAAGCTTGATGCTGGCATTTCCAAACTTTTCTAGGTTTGATTTTGCAAACATTACCTTATTTTAATGTGTTTTCTATATGTTATTCCAAATAATATTAATATTGATATTAATATTGAATGATATTAAGTCTAGCATAGAACCTTGAAGCCCCTACTATTAGTCTTTCAGGAAGATGAAGACTTATTCCCACACTTTGCTTCCTGCTTCCCTACCAACATGTGATCCATGGCAAATTTTAGTCTTCCCCTCTGATTATTTAGTTTCTTTAGTAGTGTCTTATGAAGGGCCTTGTCAAAGCCCTTTTGAAACTGTTTGTCAAATGGTTCTCCCTTATTCTCTACCTTTTTGATGCACTGAGTTGTAATAAATTAGTGAGATATACTTTTCTTTTGCAAGGTAATATAAAGCAGTCAAATCTTGACTTCAACATCACTGTGTATTCAGCTCTGCCTTTCTTGAGGAAAAATAATGTGAGTTCAGCCTTGACATAGATACCATGCCTTACTGCACACTTGATTGCACCCTGTCAAACCACAATCCATTAGCCTGAATTTTATACATCACTCTTTGTGGCTTCATATTATTTGTTATTCACAAATATTGGGAGAAAGCAAAATATTTTCTAATTTGGGTCATTTGACTTAATGCCATAAGTTGCTGTGGCCCATATGTCATCTAAAAACTGTCTTGCCTGATGGATGCATGACATTCACATAACAGAAATTGGCATAAATCAGGACGAGCTTATGAATGACATACAAATTGAAAAGTATGAATCCAGAGATACTTGTAAGTGAAAGAATGTGCTTTGCCGAACTCTGTACACTCTCAAGTCAAATCCAGAGAAAACCAGAGAGCAGTGGTAACACAATCATTTGTATATTATAGTAATTCTATGTGATGCCTCTTGTCCCATACATCCCTGACATTTAATTTGAAACTTGAGTTTTGCATCCCTGGATATCTCTATGTAAGTTCAAACTCCTTGTAGGCCACACCGCAGAGCCTTTACTATACAGCTCCTCACTGTTCTTTACCTATAACTTCCTCGTTAGAATTCCTGGTAAAGCAATGAACTCTGTCTTCCTTTAAAAAGTATAGTGGTCAACCCACATCTAAAGAATAATATTGTTTCCTATAGGGATTCTGAACAATGACTATCTTATAAAGAATAAAATGATCGCAGCAAATTCCAAGGACATCCAAGGAACTCAAAGTGATCCGATCATGTTTCCAGCTATAAGACCTTTGGAAGGAGCCACAGGAAGAGAGGGAAGCACATTAATTTTCTGTTTTTATGTTCAACAAACAGAGCAGACTCTGAAAAGCGGCACTGTCCAGTCAAAAGTGTCAAGAGGTTTATTTTTGTTCAAACCTGTAACAGGGTTGAATTTGGGACTCTGTGTTTGGCTTTTCAGCCTGTAGTTACACTGTGTAAACAGTTTATTTAACATCATTTTTGGCACTTCTTCAGTAAACCCACCATAATAATCCTACTGGCAGACCAAACAGATCACAGATTAGCTGACAAAGCTGCTGTAAAACACCAAATTACCCATCCCCTGCTTTCCTGTTTTGTGAGATGTAAAGTCCTGTACTTAGCTGTGTTTATGCCTCATTTCATAGCTGCGCCAGTGGGTCACAGAGCTATTCCTATTGATGTGTTGCTTTGGAATTGCTACATGGAAGGAGAAGCAGAGAAGGATTTTTTTCAGGCCTTTTAGAAGCTTATAAAATGTGCTGGGGTGCTGGCTGTTGTTTAACAGAGAAGGTATGTGGCTTGATCCAGACTGGAAAAGACTGTAATGCTAAAGTCACCTATTGCTTACATTTCATTTTAATGTGCTTGAGTTCAATAAAAGTTTATCATCTCCATTAAAATGGTGCCTATTGGAACTGATTTAATCTTGTTAGCACAGAAACCACATGAAAGAAATCAAGTTCACAGACAAGACTGAGCACAGTTACTTTTGGAGCATAAATTACATAAAAGCAATGGAGGATCAAGCAGAGCCACAGTGCCTGTCACCTGCATTATTAGCATATTTATGCCAATGTACTTTGCTATGGAAGGGTTTGGTTGTGAGCCATATCGCAGCAGGACTGAGAGCCTGCCAAGCACAGGAGTAATCAGCTGCTTAATGTCACAGCATCAACACTCTCCTGCAGAGACTATGAATTGTGTTACATTTGAACAAACAAATGTCATGTGTGAGGGTGCTGGTCAAACGTCTACTGGCAGCAATACAATGCACTCATAAATCTTGTGTTCAACATCACCCTGCTTTCAGCACAGAGATGCTCTGCCTTTCTTAAAGAAAAAGAATGTCAGTTTAGGTACTGGCTAACATGGCCATTTCTTGCTGCACACAGTCTTTGCTCAGGGCTGTAGAGAAGAAGCACTTTTTTAACAGTAGAAGAGCATAAGAAGGTGCCAGCATTAGCATTTCAGACTACGGCTTACTGCACACCCTTTCCTAGCCAGCAGCAGCCCTGGCCTCAGAATGGATTCCTCCTGAGGTATTATCTAATCTCTCTCTTGGGAACTGTTGTTGCCATGGCTCTGAATATTCAGAGAGGAGGGCTGGCCATCTCTTCACACCCTCTCCCTGTATTACAGCTCACCTAGATGAAGCAAGACACCTGACCAAGTGCTACTATTGGCAAGAGGTTCATGTTTGGTGCAGACACTTGGGATGCATGCCCTCTGGTGATGGGAAGTCTGTGAAGCTGGGGTATTGTGACTTCCAAGCATGTAAACCCTCATGCCATGTTTTTTTTGTCTCCATCTCTTCATGGGTATCTTGTTTCCATGACTATATATGCAGTTTGGAGATAGAAATCCCATACCCACTTGCAAGGAAATAATAATAATAGGAACCATCCCTGCCCCCCACTCAGCTCAGCTGGGTGTTGGCAGTGCTGGCTGCTCTAAGGACAAAAGTCACTACTGAGTAGCATTTTACAAATTGTCAGCCCTCATTGGCCTAATAGTTCCTGGGGTGGAGAGGAACATTGCATTTCTTTCCAGGTGCTATTTCTAATACTCACTTTCACTTGGCTGTATTGATCCTCATTATGCAGATTACCACTGTGGTGCAGCTGCCTGTCAAGTGTTTGGATATCCTTTGTTCTTGTAGCAATGCTGGTAGCCAACCGAAAATCCCTTAGGTCACTTTTACATGGCTCTGAGAGCCACTCTAATTAAAGTGCTGCAGCATCTTGTTTATCAGTGTCCCCACATTTCAAAATAGCAGCAAACACCCTTTTGAAGTGCAGGGCCATTTTAACTAAGCTCCTCCCCACATTCAACAAGCTTTAGTTAAAGCTCCCCTGCCACAATTTTGAACCGTGGGGACACTGATGCATGAAACACAGAGGCCGGCTGGAGCTGGGTAATTACCATGCTCCAGCAGATTTGATTAATTGAGTAATTACAGAGCATTGGAGCAGTCTTGCAGAACATCTACAGGCACCCTTGGAGCCCAGCTAAAGTCACCACCAAATACATTCAGCCCCAGCTTTCTCAGTGCTGAGGTAAAGGGAACATTAAGAGTTTGATCCTATATTCTGCCATGGACTTCACTGGGTGCATCTAAATGTGAAATTAACTTGACACAATAAACTCCAGCACAGTTTGCACCAGAGTTTATTGCTCCCAGGCAGGGTGTTTACACATGCACCTAGGGTCACAGTACATTGAGCTGGGGTGGAGCAGCCCCAGCTGGCAGGGACCCCCAAGGGTCAGCCTGGCACACCAGAGCTGCTCCAACCCAGCAGAATGTGCTGCAGAGGGGCTGGTTAGGGCATGACGGTGCTACAGCGCAGGGCTAGCCAGCAGGCAGCCCTGCACTGTAGCATCCTCCGGCCTTTGTACATGCCACAAAATTGGCCTTTAAGGCAGCTGAAATGCCCTTTTGCACCTCTTTAATGGCATTGCTGTTTACACTTTTGGCAGCATATTGCACTTTAAATGACTTTGAGGCATTGCAAAATAAAACATCTCCAAGGTATTTTAGTTTGCTATCTAACAAAGTGCAACAGCTGTGGAAGGAAGCACTGGGCCCTATGCAGCTCTGTGGTTTTGCAGGTAGTTCATGCAGGCAGCCCAGCGACAGCCCATGCAGGCAGTCTCCCCTAAAGAAGAAAAAAAAAATTGGCAAACCTGATCTTTTTTTTTCTCTCTCTCTCCCTGGAGCCTGCCTGCCTGCCTGAGCTGTGTGGGGGCCCAGTGCTTCCCTCTGCAGCTGTGGGGTGGCTGGTCCTTCCCTCCATGTCTGTGGTGCCCCCTGGGATTGCCTGGGCTGGGCACCTGTGTATGGGTGCTGCCTGGGGGGTGCTGCCACCGTGGAGGGAAGCACCGCCCCCAACAACTCAGGGACCACTCGGCCTGCTGGCAGCTCACTCCCCTCTTCCTTCCCCTGCCACCAGAGAGGTGGGTTTAATTCTCCCTAAATCCACCACTTCAATTTAGGGAGAATTAAACTGAAGTAAACCCCCATGGTATGTACAACTGGCCCTCATGCCCCAGACAGCCTTGGTCAGTGTCTACATTTGTGGTGTTGCAGCGTAAATAACTCAGCTGTAGGATAGTACTTGTGTTGAGCAGTACTATCTTACAGTGGAGTTAATCAGTTTACTTTAGCCAAGCAGCACTGCATGTGTAGATGCTGATGCTTAACTGTGCAGCTAATTAGTCAGCTCCATAGAAAAAGTCTTGTCAAGTCATGTCCACTGGATGCTGGGTTGGATCCAAAAGGTCTAAGAGGTAAACTTTTTGGGTGTAGAGTCCCCACCTACCTGTATTTTTGTACAGTGTATAGGGCAATAAAAGTAAATCATTATCACAATCATTGCTGTCATTCCATTAAACTGAAATGCCAAAAGTCTGATATATTCTAACGTTCAATGGAACAAACCTGAAGGCACACATGGATTTGAAATTCTACACTCTGAGCTGGAAAAGCTAATCAGTTTGAGTTCCTGGGCTGCCACAGAAATGCAATTATCTGAAGGCATCTAAAATCAAGAACACAGTGTCCAAAACAAGTTACATCCAGCCATAAGACCCTAGAACTCGCCAATCACCACTTGACATGTCACCACATTATTCTGGATGTAATGTATTGTACCAGTTCCAAAAGCAATTCATTTTTAACTGCACAGAGTAACAGGCACAGCTGTAAAAAAATCCAATGTCGTTTTGAGCTGCATAGGCAAAGGTGGCATGTCCCTGAACAGGGGCGTGGGGGAGATGATCTTCTCAAACTCAGGTGTCATTTCACCTGAATTACTAAATTCAGTTGTGGACTCCATGTCACTAGATAGAGATTGACAAACTGGAGAAGATCCAGAAACAAGAGAAACTGACTTGAGAAAGAGATTTAAAGAAATAAATATTTACAGTTTGGTTAAGTGATGACTAAGGGGGGACATGATAAAAGCTTAAAAATATTTGAAGGATGTAAGCACTATTGAGGGAGATGAGTTATTTAGTGTGGTTCATGGGGGAAGAGCTGGAATGGATGGCATGGAATTAGGGGAGGAAAAATTTAAGGAAAACTTCCTGGCAGTGAAATGTCCTGGGCCTCCCTATGGATGGGTATGAAGCTGAAACATTGGGGCCTTTAAAGTGAGGAATCAAAACACTAAAACACTTGTGCTTCTTGCTTAATAAATGCTGAATTTATTCTAGGGAGGCAGACATCATATATCTTTTCTGGCACTTGTCTCTGTACATAATAGGAAAGTTCTTGCCCTCTACTTGAGCTTTATCACGTACCCATGTTTTGCAAGACCTATAAACTCATTCTGTCATGCCTAGTTAACACCAGCCCTGTATACCTTAGCACAAAAGAATAGGAAGCTACTAGGACAGGGGTGTCAAACTCATCTGCCCTGCAGACTGAATGAATGGTGCACGTCCAGTCTATAGCCAAACCAGACCCAAAGCCTGATTCCACATTCTAGTCCTGCTCCAGCTGCCTCCAGGCTATGTCATATGGCCCCAGAGCCATTGCTGCAGGGCTGTGCTTCATTGCCCCAGAACCGCCATCATATGCAGCACAACTTTGGTGGTACATACAATCCTCACATTTTGCCTGCGGGTCACCCTGAGAATCAGGCAGCACCAGTGGCCAGAGGATATGGATCTCTGTAGCAGATCCAGCCCACAGGCCATGTCTTTGACACTCCTCTACCAGGATATTCAGGCAAAAGGCAGGGCAAGGTAGCACCGTAGAGACAAACTGGTTCAGAGAGGCATAGGCAATAGGCTACTTTGTCAGATATAAGATGTTGTCTATGAAAGTGTATGACTCTGTTCCATGTAGTGTCTAAAGTACTACCTTGCCTTACTTTCTGTCTGACTTCAGACTAACATGGCTAACTACCTCTCGTTACTCAACAGTGATCAGGAGAATGGAGAACCTGTCTTCCAGGAAGGGACTCAAAGAAGTTGGTTTATATAGCCTAACACAATCAAAGCTAAGCAGGGATACAGTTGTTCTCTATAAATACATGAGGTAAAAAAACAGGGAATGAAAAGAGTTATTTAAATTAAAAAAAAACACAACAGTGCTTGAATGAGAGCAAATGGGGATACACTGGCTGTGAATAAATTTACACTGGAAATTAGAAGAACAATGCTAAGGAGCAATAAGGTTCTGTAATAGGAATCCAGTTGGGATACTATGGACAAAACACTTAACTATCTTTAAGATGGACTTGGATCATTTTGTGGAAGGGATTATGTGATACATTTGCTTGTGAAAGCAGGGTAAAGGCTTCAGTGTCCCAGGAGGTACCTGATAGTTCAGTGTTTGGGTGGGCATGGGGAAACAAAATGGGACAAGTCACTTTTTTACACCTAGATATGAATGAGGGTTGGGAAGGATGGGAAACACAGTTGGGATGGCTGGAAGGGTTTTCTCTCATGGGTGATAACAGGGCATTGCGTGTGGTCATTTGGGAGTCTACTGTTGTTTCTTATGTGTGGACTGTTTGTCTTCTATTGAAAGTTGCCCTGAGCCTTTCTGGGTAGGGTGGAATAGAAATCTAATAAATATTAAACATACAACACAGAGCTGCACCTCATATAGAGACACCTGCACTAGATTTAAGATGGTTAGCTCAGGTACTGCCATCAGCATAACCACAGCAGCACTGGAGCTCAGTATAGGTTGCAAAACACACCAAAATGCTACGTAATACTCAGGCAGCTTGTCCACTCTGACCTCTACACTGACATGGCCACACTGCTAGCAGTACCTGAACTAGGTGGTTTAAATCTAGGTCAGGTATCTCCACATGACCTGTAGTGACTGCAGTGTAGATTAACCCACAGAGAGAAGACAATAAATTTATTACACCAAGAGCCAGCTTTACCTCTGGCTTGCTTCTCCTCAAATATTGCAGTCACAGAAAAGGTATAGCTATCACATCTCAGTCGGGTTTAGATCCTGGGGCAGCTGAGAGAAATGACTGGACTTGTAAGAGTCTCTTCAAATCCCACCCCTCATTACTCAAAAGTCTTATTCATCTTCACCAAATTTGTCACAAGGTAAGTAGCTCAGCTAGGTTTGCTGTTCACTGGAGTATCATGGTGTTCTACCCTGCTGACCACTGCTGGTAGCATCTACAGTGTACTCCATTTCTGTACATATCTGCTTATAGTGATCCTCAGGAAATTACTGAGATGGCTTTTTGTGCAGTTTGCCAGCATTGCCAAATATGCCCACAGCTCCTAATAGCTTGCAAGTACAATGATTAATGTGTGTGCCAACCACATCTTTGGCTGTCACCCATCAATTGTAAAATATAATGAAGGTTTGACGTATAAAAATACCTAAATACCTAACACAAATAATTGGAAGCAAATGTGGAAAACTGACTTTAGAGCTGCACTCTGTGAGATACCACTTGGTTAGTACATTCCACTTCTCTAAATCTAATTATGTAATTAGAACAACCTTGTGGCACTGAGCCCCAAATGGCTGCTGCTGCTGTCATTAAAGCAACAGCTTGGGGATGTCATTGTGATGCAGTGAGCACCAAACAGAAGAGAATGTACAAATCGGCAGATCTCCTGTGGTGTATCAGCTGGTCTAGCTGCCTGTGGGATTGATTCCACATGTGCAGTGGGATTCTTGCAAGAAACATGTCCAGAGAAGATCCCATCTTAGGGGTTGCCTACACTAAAAGGCTTATGCCATCAGGAATTCTGCTGGCAA